AGTCCCCCCAGTGACTGGGATTACAGGCCTGTGCCACCACACCCGGCTAATTTTTTGTATTTTTAGTAGAGACGGGATTTCACCAGGTTGGCCAGGCTGGTCTCGAACTCCTGACCTTGTGATCTGCCTCCTTCCATCTCCCAAAGTGCTGGGATTATAGGCATGAGCCACCGTGCCCAGCCCCCAACCTCTCTTATATGCAGTCAGTGACACCATGGGGCCAGCTCTCAAGGCCATGCTTTCCGATTCCTGGGTCCGTGTCCTTTCCTCTCTGCATGAGCACAGTCTCCGTGGAAGATTACATGGCCTGTTAAGAGACAGCGTGTGGGATGGTGTTGGGGAGCGAGGTGAGCGCAAACATCTAATCTAGGGAACAGGAACCTTGGGGGGTCTATGGTGCTACCCCTGTCCATCTCTACCACTTCCTCTGACACTAGGATTCTGAACCTGGACTCTGCAGACTCCCAGGAGGTCCATAGATGACTAACTTGAATCCCCTTGTATTCACCAAGACACTAGGATTACAAGCAACAGAAACAAGTGCTGGCCGACCTAACCAACACTGGGAATCCATTGGAAGGGTGTAGGGAGGTCATCCAAGGGAAGGAAAAGCTGTATTATGAAGACTCAGAGGCAAATCCAAAGCAGAAGGGGTCTGATTGGCATCCTCTGGCCAAGGGTTGGTGCAGACTCCTGATGGACGGTCCCTCAAAAGCTCCATGTGAGGAGGAGGCTGACTCCCCAGGGGAAAAATCGGTACTCAAGAAACAAGGGGTCATGGATGCAGGGTGAGCCCAAACCCTCATGCCCAACACTCCCCTGAAAGTGTGTGTCAAAATCCAGGGCTCTTTTTGGGAGAGGATCCAATGCTTTTGGAGACCATAAATTCCTCCAGACAGGAACTGTTGATTGCCACAACAAAAGGAAGCCCTAGGAAAGCAGCTGTGAAGGAATCAAAATGCATCAGAGTCTTAAAGAATTTGATGACCCCCAAAATGTTAAGCCACACTAAACTTGACTGTGAGTGGTGGGAGGGCAGGGACTGTATGATTCAGTGGTTCTCAAATCTGGCTACACATGGAAATCACCAGGGGAGTTTTGTGAAAAATACCAGTGCCTGAACAACCCCATTCCCTGCCCATCATCCATATCACCCTACCACCCTGCAGAAATTCTGATCCAGTTGGAAGGGGCGGGATCTGTATTGTTAAAAGCTAGGTGATTTTGATATGAGTCGGGGCCAAGAACCAGTGACATCATCAGTATTTTATCACATGTATCAGAGTTTCCTTCTGATTAGAAAGGTTAGATGCAAGCTAGAAAAACCAAAAATAAAAATCACTTGAGGAAACACCACCCCTTGTGGACAAACAGTTATTTTTTCTGTTCATCTATAGTTCACATAAACGTACACTTTTTATACAGAGTACAGACTTATAATGTATGTACATACCATTTTGTAACCATTACTATGTCCCACGGTCAATACTTTCCCTGTCACCCTGAGACCTCACTCTGTTCCGTAGGGTAAACCGTGAGAAGTGGAATGGCTGGATCTGGGGGCAGGTCCCTCACCAGGGCTCTGGACAGATGTGCCTCGACTGTGAAGAGCTGGTTTGTTGTCCCCGCACCCTGCACCCCTCCCTACAGGGCACATCCATTCACTGGCCCGTACTGAATACTTCAATCGTCAATCTGTTAGACAGACAGAAGAAAGAAAGAAAGAAAAAGAAAGAAAAAAGAAAGAAAGAAAGAAAGAACTGTTTGTCCACCCCTTGTGGACAAACAGTTATTTTTTCTGTTCATCTATAGTTCACATAAACGTACACTTTTTATACAGAGTACAGACTTATAATGTATGTACATACCATTTTGTAACCATTACTATGTCCCATGGTCAATACTTTCCCTGTCACCCTGAGACCTCACTCTGTTCCGTAGGGTAAACCGTGAGAAGTGGAATGGCTGGATCTGGGGGCGGGTCCCTCACCAGGGCTCTGGACAGATGTGCCTCGACTGTGAAGAGCTGGTTTGTTGTCCCCGCACCCTGCACCCCTCCCTACAGGGCACATCCATTCACTGGCCCGTACTGAATACTTCAATCGTCAATCTGTTAGACAGACAGAAGAAAGAAAGAGAGAAAGAAAGAAAGAAAGAAAGAAAGAAAGAAAGAAAGAAAGAAAGAAAGAAAGAAAGAAAGAAAGAAAGAAAGAAAGAAAGAAAGAAAGGAAGGAAGGAAGGAAGGAAGGAAAAAGAAAGAAAGAAAGAAAGAAAGAAAGAAAGAAAGAAAGAAAGAAAGAAAGAAAGAAAGAAAGAAAAAATAATAGAAAGAAAACAATCCCTAAATGAATGAGCTTAACCCAGAATCAGTCTGGGTGTTTCCCTGAGTTCACAGGCCTCCTACTGATGGCTTCATCCTTGTTACCATTTGCTTGTTGATCCTGGGAACACATTGGTGCTCCATCTCTTCCTGAGAGGTTGCCAGGGAACCCAGGCCTGGATGGAGAGGCTCTGGACCCACTGAAGAAAAGGTTAACACAACAATCAAAGCAAAATTGCATTGCTTAGATTACAAATGAACTTGAACTTTTTGTTTCGTGTAGTGAACAGCCATCAGTCCTGTTCGTGCTGCATGGACTCGGCAGCCCTGTGTTGTGTTCTTCAGTGGGTTCAGCCCCTCTCCATCCAGGCCTGGGTTCCCTGGCAGCCTCTCAAGAAGAGGTGGAGCACCCATGTGTTCCCAGGATCAACAAGCAAATGGTAACAAGGATGAAGCCATCAGTAGGAGACCTGTGAACTCGGGGAAACACCCAGACTGATTCTGGGTTAAGCTCATTCATTTAGGGATTGTTTTCTTTCTATTATTTTCTTTCTTCTTTCTTTCTTTCTTTCTTTCTTTCTTTCTTTCTTTCTTTCTTTCTTTCTTTCTTTCTTTCTTTCTTTCTTTCTTTTCTTTCTCTCTCTCTTTCTTTTCTTCTTTCTTCTTTCTCTCTTTTTCTTTCTTTCTTTCTCTCTTTCTCTCTCTCTCTTTCTCTCTCTTTCTTTCTTGAGGAAGAGTCTCACTCTGTCACCCAGGCTGGCGTGCAGTGGCACGATCTCAGCTCTTTGCAACCTCCACCTCCCGGGTTCAGGCGACTCTCCTGCCTCAGCCTTCTGAGTAGCTGGGACTACAGACGCCCACCATCATGCCTGGCTAATTTTTGTATTTTTAGTAGAGATGGGGTTTCACCATGTTGATCAGGCTGGTCTTGAACTCTTGACCTCAGGCGATCTGCTCGCCTTGGCCTCCCAAAGTTCTGGGATTACAGGTGTGAGCCACCGTGCCTGACCAGGGATTGTTTTCTTATTCGCACTTCTTTCAGTTTGTATTATAAAAAATTATGCTCACATCCGTTGTGTGGCTTATAACTATCAGCCCCGCTGCTGCTGCCTCACACGGAGTGCCATGTGTATGATGTGATCTCAGTTCTCACAGGTCACCTCATCAAGTCCTCAGCACAGCCCTTCTTTGGTAAGTGTTCATTTATCTCCATTTTACCAATGAGGAGTCTGGCTTCCAGGGAGGTGACATGACCTACCCTAGGTCACACCCAGAAAATGTCTGTTTTTCTGTTTTATTTTATATTTTATTTTTATTTTTTGAGAAAGAGTCTTGCTCTATCAGCCAGGCTAAAGTGCAGTGGTGTAATTACAGCTCACTGCAGCCTTGACTTCTCAGGCTCAAGTGATCCTCCCACCTCAACCTCCAGAGTAGCTGGGACTACAGGCATGCACCACCACACCTGGCTAATTTTTGAATTTTCTGTAGAGACAGGGTGTCACTCTGTTGCTCAGACTGGTCTCAAACCCCTGAACTCAAGTGATCCTCCCACCTTGGCCTCCCAAAGTACTGGGATTACAGGGGTGAGCCATGGTGCCTGGCCTGTGTTTCTATTTTAAATATGAGAATACTGGGTTCACACAGAGGTAAGGAGGCAGGAAGAAGGGCTGAGACTTCCCAGACTGTGTGTATCCACTCGAGGTGTCTTTGGCTCAAGGCTTTTAATTTTGTGGTTCTCAAACCACAGTGTGCATTGGAATCATCTGAAGGATGCTTTAAAATGTAAAACAGAGATAGCTGGGCCCCAGTCCCAAGGGTTTCTGGTTCCCAAGGCCAGGGTTGTGGCCCAAGAATTTCTGTTTCTAATGAGTTCCAGGTGATGCTGACATGGGTGGTCGGGACCCCACTTTGAGAATCACACACCCTGACCTCTCCTGGGTACCCCAGAGACAACCATTATCACACCCTGAGACGGGGAAGCTCCTCCAGTAGAGGAATGGCTTCACTGGGTTCAGTGGATAAAAATTTCATAGGCTGTAATTACAAGGGCACCCGGCAGATCCCAAGAAGAACAAGTCCAAGGTGTCAATGAGGTCTCTGGCCGCTAGCATGCAGCCCAGATGGGGTGGGAGGCCTGCCTGCCTCCTGGGGAATTGCCAGGAATGGGAAGGAGTTTTTCCTCCTTAAGAAGGGATTCATGTGCAGTGCTGGAATCTGGGCCCTGTCTAGAGATGATGCCCAGGCTCAGCTGAGGCTCTAGCAATGGTCAGGGTCACTCCCAGATACTTCTCAGGACACTCTTCAGAAGATGAGCTTACTTGAGGGTCAAGTGAAGGGTAGTGGGGGACATGGACTGGAGTCCAGCCTGAAAGATTCTGGTAATTTCCTCTGCCCATCCACACCCACAGATCCCCCCAGTCATGGGAGATGATTCAGAGCTAATTTTGAGGCTCGGCAGCGGTAAGCAAGTCTCCCAACGGGGTCTGGGATGAGTGATGCCTCTCATGGGGGTTCTTTCTGGAGGGGCCTGGAGAAGACCTTCCAACATCAGCACTGCCTGCCTGCAGCAGGACCCTCTCACCTGATTTCAGGATCCACCTTCCTTTCTCTTTTTCCTTCCTACAGATATTTATTTATTCCATAACTATTAGCTATTTATTGAACCATTTACTTTGGGCAGGCACTGACAAGACACTGAGGACACTGCCACCAACAAGACAGAGAAGATCCTTGCTTTGCATATGCTGTCAAGCATGGGGAAAAAGACAATCAATCTAGAAACAAACAAACTATTGACAGATTGACGAACATAAACCAGATGCTGTGGGAAGACAACATTTATGCTGAGAGCTAAAGGAAGGGACGAGCAAAGACCCTGGGGTTGGAAGAAACAGGAGTGTGTGAGGAGCTAAGCAGATGGCAAAGTGACCAGAGCATAATGCGCAAAGGGGTGAGGTCAGAGAGATGTCAACAGGGATCAGACCATGAAGTGTTTTGGAGGCCTCGGAAAGGAGCATGGATTGTATTTAAAATGCAATGAGGGTGGGGAGGCTGAGGCAGGTGGATCACCTGTGGTCAGGAGTTTGAGACTAGCCTGGCCAACGTGGTGAAACAGGATCTCCACTAAAATTACAAAATTAGCTGAGTGTGGTGTCGTGCACCTGTAATCCCAGCTACTCGGGAGGCTGAGGCAGGAGAATCACTTGAACCTGGGAGGCAGAGGTTGCAGTGAGCCAAGATCGAAGCCATTGCACTCCAGTCTGAGCAACAGAGCGAGACTCTGTCTCAAAAAAAAAAAAAAAATTGCAGTGAGGAGTCTAGGCAATGATCCTTAGTGTCTGCTGAAAATATTATGTTAAAAGCTGATGGCACAGTGGCTCATGCCTGTAATCTCAGCACTTTGGGAGGCCAAGACAGGAGGACTGCTTGAGCTTAAGAGTTCAAGACCAGCCTGGGCAACATAGTGAGACCTCATCTCTACAAAATAACCTTAAATGAACCCAGCTTGGTGGTGCACGGCTGTCGTCCCAGCTACTCAGGAGGCTGAGGCAGGAGAATTGCTTGAGCCCAGGAGGCAGAGATATATCACCTGAGCCCCGATTGAGCCTAGCACCACAAAGAGAAAGGCCACTGGACATAATCTGATCAAGACTCTAGATCTGACCACCAAGTGCAGGTAATACAGTGGACAGAGAGCAGAACATGTAAAATGACATCATGAGGAAGCAATCAGAAAAATCCAGCCTGCAGAAGCTCTACAGAACAACCACTCAGTCCATACGACAAATATACTGCAGAAGGGAAAAGAGACAGAGTGGGGACCTGTGAACTAAAAAAGACTTTGGAATCATGTCAACCAAATGTAGTATGGGGATAGTGGTAGATTTTATCATAATGGACCTTAATGAATCACACTTCCATGTCCACACCTCTTCTGCAATGCTATATTGCTTTTCTTCCTATCAAGAGGTGAAACTATCCACTGGCTTGAATCTGGGCATCCCTTGTGACTTGTTTTGGCCAATAAAATGTGACAGATGTGATGTGAAAATTCCAGAGTCTCGGTTTTAAGAAGCTTGTAGCTTCTTTTCTTGCTTTCTTGGAACCCTGAGACCACTGTTCTCTGAAGAAGCCCACACTAGCTTCCTGGAGGATGAGAGGCTACGTGGAGAACTGAAAGACATCCCAGCCAATCGCCAGCACTAATCACCAGCCATGTGAGGGACACCTTGGACCTCCCAGCCCCAGCTTAGCCAGCAGATAACTACAGCAGCTGCATGAGAGTCCCAAGAGAGACCGGGAGAAGAACTACTCTGCAGCCCTGATGGTGCCAGCTCACTGGCCCTGCTCCCCTGAGGGTCTTTAGCCTCCAGGCCCCCAGCCTCCATTGAGCCTCCAGGCCAGTGGCTGAGTTCTGGGTGTGACAGAAAGATTCCGTAGGGACTCTTCATCCCCTGGAACAGGCCTCATTCAGTCCCAGAGGAAGGCAGGAGGAGAGTTTATGAGACAACATCATGAGTCACCCCAACTAATGACTTCCCAGAAGAGCTGTGGTTGGACACTGAGCCTTCCCTTCGAAGCAAGCCTGGGGAAACACACACCAAAGCCTGGTCCTAATTCACAGACACACAGAGCAGGGCCAGCTCTGCTGCAGCATCATCATGGGACCTTGAGCAAGTCATGGAACCTCTCTGACCTCCAATTCAAACGAAACTAACACCTTAGGGTAATTCAATGAGGGTTTAAAAAAAATACAAAAGGAAACAAATGAGGCTAATACCTAGTGACTTACATCATGGGATGGCTCAGAGAGCTAAATAAAATAACAGATGTGGAAGTGCTTTGTTAAATGCTATGCAGGCAGAACAGCTGATCACGGGACAGGAGGAGGCAAAGGTCGAGCAGGAACCTCTGCTTTGGATGTTCTGCTGAATGTGATGTGCCTCTGCTCCTTAGCCCTTGTTCACAGTCCCCCTTCATTCTCCCTTTCTCTACGGCCTTCTTGCCTTTCTCAACTAAAGTTCCGTGGAGGAGATGAAGGGGAAAAACATCAAAGAGTTTAAGGGCATAATAATTGGGTTCCAGCGGAAAACAAATGGTACACTCAGAAGGGGTTTAAGTGAATAGAGTTTAATGGAAGAGGGGAGCGGTAAGAGAACCAGCTAGAAACGGTGAAGCACCCAGGGATTCACAACCACAGGAAACTGTTACCATTTGCAGGCCTATGAGTGCAAGGAGAGGGAAGAGCGTTACTGTAGTCATGCGAGCGCTAGAGCCATGAAAGGGGACTCACCCAATAAGAGCAGGCTGTGGCCGTAGGAAAAAACAGCTGCTGGAAGAATTGGGCCAGGCAGGAAGGGAGTCAGAAGACAAATACCCTGACCTCTCTCTCTGTTCCTGCCCTCCCATCTCCTTTGTGCCTGGCATTGGCTGAACCCAGCTAGAAGCCAGAAGACAAGAGAACCAGGGCAATGCAGAACTTAGAGGTTAGCCTCTGGGGCACACAGCAGGGCCAAGAAAGTTGGAACCTAAATAGGGTGTGGGGGGGTTAATAAAGAATAACCCACAGTGGAGAATGAGTTATGGGCAAGACAGGGCATGAAGTACAAGATCAGGGTTTGAGTGGTTTTAGGCTGAAAGTCTTGGATCAGTGCATCCAGTTGCAACTGGAGCTGGACACATACTTGGGGGACCAGGGCATGGTTAAGATTGGGATACGGAGGGTCTCATTAGTGGTGAGAAATTGGTAATCTCTTCTTTGCCTAAGGTCCTGACCCACATATTCCTTTGGTCCTAGGGGAGCCCTCCCAGCCTCCCAACAGCAGTTGGCCCCTAAGTCAGAATGGGACTAACGCTGAGGCCACTCCAGCTGCAAACCTCACCTTCTCCTCCTACTACCAGCACACCTCCCCTGTGGCGGCCATGTTCATTGTGGCCTATGCGCTCATCTTCCTGCTTTGCATGGTGGGCAACACCCTGGTCTGTTTCATCGTGCTCAAGAACCGGCACATGCGTACCGTCACCAACATGTTCATCCTCAACCTCGCCGTCAGTGACCTGCTGGTGGGCATCTTCTGCATGCCCACCACCCTTGTGGACAACCTCATCACTGGTGAGTGCAGGCAGTTGGCAGCAGGAGTGTCCCCCACCCACACTTCAACTTCTCAGATAAGGCCAGAAATCGAAGCTTGAAAGACAGACATCATTGCTGGGCTGGCCTCTTGGCCATGCCATGGTCTCGAACTCTTAAGACAGTCTTGGAGCTGAAGAGTTAGACTAGAAATAAGAGATATAATGAATTCCCTGTTTTCTTTGTGCCTGGCATGATGTTACTTTTCATGCATTATCTTAATTCATCCTCACAACAATCCAATGAAGTAGAGTTTATGGTCCTCCCCATTTTATGGAAGAGGAAACATGCTCAGAGTGGTTTAGAAACTGGTCTGTAGTCACACAGCTAATAGGTGTCAAGGTCCACATTCTCACACCCATACTTCTAATTATTGTATTATACCATTCAGTCCCACTCTCTCATGGAGCTCCCATGGGCAGAATTAGAGCCAATGGGGAGAAGTGGAAGGGAGGCAGGTTTCCTCTGAGTCAGGAACTAAAACTCCACTCATCTGAGCTGGAAATTGATCAGGGCACAGAAGAGAGTCCTGCCTGTAAGTAATGAGCTCTCCATCCCTTGGAGTGTCTAAGCAGGGACTGGCCGGCCACTCAGTGGACCACTTGACCTCTAAATTCCTGCCTGTGCATCCTGCAGATGTCAGAACAGCACCATCTACTCTCTACTCTCTCATGCGACTGGCCTTTCTTGTTTTAGAATCAAGTTTCCACCAACCTGAGACTCCAGGTGAGGGACTGCTTTTCAGAGATACAGAGACCCCTAGAGGTCTTAGCCTGCAGATTCTGAGCTCAGAGCTCGCAGCAGCTCACTGGTCCTCAGGATTCAGAGCCATTCGGAGTGAGTTCACTGACTCAGGGCAGAGGGAGCCACAGCCCGGGTTTCTGTAGGTTCTAGGACCCAGGAAGTGGAGACAGTGCAGAGTCAGCTCCCCTCCACAGTACTGGCTCTGTCTGGTGGAACCGTTACTCACTGCTGAGTCCCAGCTTCCTTTGCCGATGCTGAACATAAACTGCATCCCTCTCCTTTCCAACATGTAGACACACACACATGTGTACTCAGGCACATATGTGCAGAGATGCACACATGCATACACATAAATACATGCATACCAGTCAACAGTGATATAATGAGGTCACTACCTGGTTAAGGTGGTGTCTCTCAGTCTTTTTCACACACTCATATTCAAAATATTGTTTGAATACATAAAACATTCAGATGGTTCAATAGTCAAAAGCTACCAAAGTTCTCCAGTGAAAAATCTCCCTTCTGCCCCTGTCCTCTGGCGTCCCGGCTCCTATCCCTCCTGGGAGGCAACTAATGTTGCCAGTTTCTTGTGTCTCTTTCAAAAAATATTTTATGCGAGTGCAAGCAAATTAAGCACATGCTAAGGTTCCAAACAGTCCCGTACTTTTACTTCCCACCACACCCCACTTAAAAATATATCATGTATGCTGTAAAAAAGATTCATTAAAATCAACTTACATGTTGTTATCCCATATTAATAGATAAAAGAGTTTCTCATTCTTTTCACCAACTGCTTAGAATTCCATTGTATGAATGTACTACAATTGATGCTGATTTGTATTTATGTTGTTTCTAATACAATCTTCTGCAATTAAATAAAACTTCACACAGCTTCCTTTTTTTCTCTTTCTCTCTCTCTCTTTCTTTCTTTCTTTTTTTTTTTTTTTTTGAGGCGGAGTCTCCCTCTGTCGCCCAGGCTGGAGTGCAGTGGCCGGATCTCAGCTCACTGCAAGCTCCGCCTCCCAGGTTTACGACATTCTCCTGCCTCAGCCTCCCACGTAGCTGGGACTACAGGCGCCCGCCACCTCGCCCGGCTAGATTTTTGTATTTTTTAGTAGAGACGGGGTTTCACCGTGTTAGCCAGGATGGTCTTGATCTCCTGACCTTGTGATCCGCCCATCTCGGCCTCCCAAAGTGCTGGGATTACAGGCTTGAGCCACCGCG